TTAAAATCTGGTTATTGGCAAATCCAGATTGCTGAAAGAGATATTTACAAAACACATTTAACAATAGCAAGGTGTTCTTTAACTACAGCAGAGTAGTTAAGCTGAGCATGCTTCCATTTGCCAGAATAAAAGCGGATAAGATATTCTTGTTTAGATATGGGATTAATTTGTTTAAGAATACCTCCATAGCCTAGGTTAGAAGCATCGGTTTCTACTATCTTATGCCAAACAGGATTGGGAAGCATAAGACAGGGAAGGTTTTTGACCTTTTTCTTGATTTCCTGGACTGCTAGAGTATGGTTATCAGTCCAACTACAAGACTTCTTTTTAAGCCGATCATAAAGAAGAGAAGTATACTGGCTTAAATCTTGAATATAAGCGGAAATATAATTTAGGCTGCCTAAAAACCTCTGTAACTGGGTTTTATCAAGAATCTGATCAGGAAATTTATCACCAAAAGCGATACTTCTTTGAATAGGAATAATAGTCCCTTTTTCAATATCATGCCCTAAGAATCGAATCTTGGTCTGGAATAAAGACATTTTAGGCTTAGATATAACTAAACCGTTTTGGACAACCAGAGTCTTAAAAATGTTTAGATGTTTAAAATGACTCTCAATATCTTTGGAAAAAAATAAGAATATCATCTATATAAACAATAATGAAATTGCTATAAGGGTAGAAAATGTCATTCATGATTTGTTGAAATTCAGAAGGAGCATTTTTCAAACCAAAAGACATAACCTTCCATTCATAATGTCCCATGGGAACATTGAAAGCAGTTGGTCGAAAGGAGGATTTTACCGTCACTTTGGCCATTATCAAACAAAAACTAATAATACTTAGAATCAAATTCATTTTTTTAATTGCGTCTAAAAAATAGTATAAAATTTGATACAAACATCTGATGAACAATTCAGATTCTTACATCAAATTGTAAGATTCTAAATCTGTTTATTTTTATGTTTTCTCATTGAAATTTGATGTAAATAAATAATGTTACATCAAAATTTGATGTAAATGAATAACGTTACATCAAATTTGGTATGTTACTATTCATTACACCAAATCTAATAAATTTGGTATACAGCTTGCACTTACCACGACAGCAAACAACGACAAATGAGATTGGGTTCATTTGCATCTAAAGAGGCAGAGAACAAAAAATACCGGACGTCGAAGGATTTACTTCCACCGCCACTCTCACAAAATCAATAATACAAGTTTTCTAATTTTTGGGATTCGACTTACATGAGTTAATTTTAGAGGGGTGTCGGTGAGTGAATTATTAACAACAACCTACGATATGAGCAACCAGGAACCAACCAACATTGTGGATGGAAATTTGAAGCCCTAATTTCAAGACCTGCATCATCAGTGGACAACCACACCCAAAACCAAAAGTGGATCTTGTTTCTTTCCCGCGTTCACTCAATACAATTACCCCACCACACTCGCGCATACTTTTCTTCACCGCCGCAACAAAACCCTTCTTTCTTCCAATGCATATGCTCACACTTTATCCCTTTCATTTTCTTGATCTAAAAACCATCTGTAAAACCCAATATGGTTCATCTTCTACTTTCTTATTCTCTTGCTAGCATCTTTCATAACAATCACGGATAATGTTTTCCCTTCCAAGATTCACGTTACTGGTACCGTATCCGGCTTTAAACCTTGGATTATCCGTCAATCATGTATTAATGGTATGAAATTACTTTCTTGTTGATGGATTCATTTGGACCGAGTGATATGCATATTATTGTTCGTTTTTCGAAGAACTGATGGATGATGAGAGTTATGAATTTCTTTCTTGTTTCGACAATCGCCTCTTTCATCTGGTAGTTCCGAGGAAAAAGGACATATTCCAATCTTTTATGGCGAATCCTTTAGTTTCTGGAATGTCAAATTGATGTTGGTTATTTTGATCATACACCCACATAGGGAAGTTTCTGCTATAAAGTTTAAATGGTTATAGGGAAGTTTCTTGAAAACTTTCTAACTTATATCTATTATGAAGTTTGAAAGCAACTTTTTATTTGACATCCAGAGTCAACAAGAAGCCCTTGTTTTGGAATGATGAGTGTTTGATAAGTTTATTGTGAATACTGTTAACAGATTACGACATTATTTTGCTATAATAGGCTGTTGATTGTATTAGTTTTAGTGTAGTAGGTATTGCTTGAGTGTTCCTCTGACTCATAGCCTTCTTTTTGGGCCTCAAATTTAGTTCCAGGTGAATGTAGAAGGGAAAACAAACAAGAGGGTGACAGATATTGGTACATTTCATGTAATGTTGATGAGATTAAGAACAACTATGCACGATGACCTAGTAAATATGGTTAATAATTGTAGGAAAATATTAACCTGCAAAGTAAAGTATGAAGTTGAACAGGCGAAATGTTTTATTTTAAAAAAGTCATTCATGAATATAGAGCACCAGACTTGCTTGTTGACTGTGCTGGAGTGAGCCTACTGAATTAGTGTCCCAAATGCTTTCATTGTTGATGTTACATTTGGTGCTTTTGTCAAAACCCTTCATAATGGCTAAGCTAATGAATGTTTTTTTTTCTTCAGCATGCTACAAAATCTGCGAGGCATTGACATAATGTTACATTGTTACTTGAATCTTCTTGTGTTTTCACTTATAGCAAAAATGGTGTTAGACATAAGAATAGATATGTGTTAGAAGTGACTCATATCATGTTGATTGTAACATTCCACATTGTTATAGGGAATGCTTTATTAACAAATTTTATCTATATGGTTGTATTCAGTCTATTGCTTTGAAGTGGCTAATTTCTTATCAAGTTTTCATTTCATTGTTCTTTTGGTGTAAAGTTGACTGTAGATTTTGATGCAGTTTTTACGTACATGGGTTTTCTTTTGATCCGAGTAAACTTGAAGTTACGAGAGTCTGCCCATTACTTCTTTTCTAATATAATGTTGGCGAAAAAGACACACTGATGCAACTTCTGTCATAATATATTTAGTTCTTTGGTTTTCTTGTAGCGTCACTCGACCTTTTAGATCACTGTAGATTCTTAGTTTTCATTTTTATCTGGCTAAACCAACTTGCTTATGTTGGTAATTCTTTCAAGGAACATGGTTTTTCATTTAACTTCATGTTTCTTATGTCTATTGGTTCTCTATCTGTTATGTCTTTATCGTTTATAGTCGTCGTATTTCTTGTAATGTTTGTGAGGAGACTGTATATGAGGAAATATCTGCTCGTCAAACAACAAGACTTGGAATCTTGTTGATCTTTTCTCTTGAAAGGACTTATTGGTTACAAGTGAGTGTGCACCATGAAAGTCAATCTTAATGGATCTTTATTTCTCTAAAGGCTTGAATTGTAGCTAAAGGTTTCTTTGACACCTATGACGAGGCTTGTGAAGAGAATTTTGGCCCTTTGGTACCTTTTGTGATTGCTCAAGAAATATTTGCATAACTTGATACGAAGATTACATTTTTGAACGTTGTTCTTGATGATTGGGGTATATAAATAGCCTTTTGGTTTGTGGTTAAGAGGAAGCACATATAGTGTGTTAGTTGAGGTCTTTGGATGGTCAATTTCATTGAGTTTGGCTTTCTTTACTTTTAAGGTTTGGGTAAACTTGGGTTTCCTTTATGGGATGGGCCACTTTTGTTGGTCCAAAATGACTAAGAAAGGCCATTATGATTAATATCTTCGTTTACCATTGCCAAATTAAGTTTTTAATCACCTACTCTTTGATATTTCATTTTCATAAACAAATTTGGGGTCAGATTCCACACCGCTCTCATTCGCCCCTCACTCTCATTCGACTCGAATTCACCTAGGAAGACGATTGCTGGAGGTTTCCAGGTAACCTGCTTAACTTTGTAACAGAGACTTGATACCTAAATAAATATGCCAAATGTGTACATCAAAATTTAATTTGATCACTTTGTTCTTTAAAGGGCAAATTGCATGAAAAAGTAACTTTAACTTGATTCCTATTTTGGGTAACGTACTTTCAAAACTTCCATTTTGGTACTTAAGATGTAAAGTTTTAAACATTTAAGTACCCGGGTAACTGATTGAAGTATTAACCGATTATCATGCTGATGTGGCGAGTGATGTGGTATCCAATTCGGTATTATTTACTGACGTGGTCAGTGACGTTGATTTTTTAAAATATAAAATTAGTCTTTTTTTTAATCTAATTTTAGTCTTCAAGTAGTTACCCGGGTACTTAAATGTTTAAAACATTACATCTTAGGTACCAAAATGGAAGTTTTGAAAGTACGTTACCCAAAATAGGAATCAAGTTAAAGTACGTTACTTTTTCATGCAATTTACCCTTCTTTAAATGGGGAATTAATGTTTGATTCTTTTGTGATATCTCCATTATTATTGAATCATAATGTATCTTTCTACAGGCCATACACTAATTACTGCATTCATTTCCCTAATCTTACGATTCGTTTTATGTTTCAAAATGTGGGGTTTTCGATTCTTGATCGTAATACGATATAATAATAAGTTATGTTGTCATCATTAGGAACATACGTTTCTTACTGAATTTTAGTACACCTTAGGTGATAAAATGCACACTAATTCTGAGAGACATAGTCATCTTATCTCTAGTAGAAAATTCTGAGAGAGATAGTCATCTTATCTCTAGTAGAAATATTTTTACCCAAAAATGATTAACAAGCTTTATGTAGCTTACAGGGGGTCTTGGTTCAATTGAGTTGCGTATTGACTTCCTTCATCTATAAGGAAAGGGGAGATTCACAATCTTTTTTCCACTCAATGGAGATAGTTAATTGGGCCCAACTTTTTGCTTTTTCTTTTTGTGGTGGTTGGTTGGGATTCTATCATTTACAGAACTCTTTCCTCTCCTTCCTAGTTGTTCTTTTAATAAAGTTGCACCTTGTCATTCAAAAAAAAACCCAGCTCTTCTTGTAATAGCCAAGTTGCAAGTTTCACCTCATCCACTGAAATTTACCCCCACTTATCTCACATGGTGCAGTCAAGGCCCAGGTAACTATGCATAATTTCGAATGTCTTTTTTTTCTTCTCGTGAAGGCTTGGTATACAAGGAGTTTAAACTCTCTGCCACCTGCTGAATTGACACATCCTTGGTAGATTCAAACCCATGGCCCCTAGACTATACTGAACGAATTCCAACAGTCCAACTAGTTAAGCAAGTCCAGTTGGGAGATGCAGAAGACATGCCTTGAATATGTTCTCATGAGCTGTGTTACTAGAAATCAACTTTTGACCATTTTCATCACCTGCAAACATTACCTGCAACTGAGTACCCTACCATTGGTTTCCTGTTGACTCTGAATTTGGCCGATGCTAGAACAGCAACACTTTCAAGGCTTGGAGAATTGTACTGTCTCGTGGGGAGCTATTAAAATGTGGGGATGTATGTGAATAATTGGTATTGTTGTTGGATCAGGATCACTATTGGTACATAGTTGCACTCCTGCGAAATTAGTGACATAGGGTTAGGAGTGCATTTGAGCTGATCCAACCCCGAGCTTTCTTGACTTGTGAAAAGATATTGATGACCAGGATCGGCTCATGGTTTCTAGCATAAATGGCTTCTATAGGCTTGTATAAGCCAAGCCTTAGAGTGGGTCATATGGATCGGCTTCTACCGCTCGTATAGGCTCATGAGTCAAACCTTAGCCTGGTTCATATGGGCTTGTAGAATTTGGAAGTAAACCATCCAATTACAAATAAACTATTTCTAACAAACTACAATTAGGGAGTGCGCAACAGAAATAATTAAACAAATAAATTTACATTCAAGTTCGTATAGGTGCAAACAGTCAAATCATTCGGCTTGCTCAGGCTTGCCAAGCCTTCTGATGAGCCATGAGCCATGAATGCCCTATTTCAGTATTTCTTATGTTTGGCTTTGGCATTTTTCGTTTCCTTATGGTCATTTGCATTTTCTAATCTGGTAATAGATCTGCTTCTTTATTCCAAACCTTGCCTGCATTGATGTTCATTTTGAACTATGAAATAGAAATGCCCTTGAAACCAGTTCTATGTTTTCAGTTGTATCTGCCAGATTCTGTGTTATTTGGGACTCGAAGATGAATTCCCATCATTCATTGGAACTTGCTCTCAAGGATATTCTTCTTGTGGTGAATCCCACACATGATGACTGGAATAAACGGTTTCAAATTATTAATGATCTTCAAGCTGTTGTGCAAACTTTGGAAATTCTTAGAGGTAAGTACATACATCTCATATGGCTACTTGATTTTCTTTGTCATTCTGTTTATCAAGCCTTGTGCACACTAAAACATATTATTTTAGAATACATATCCTGATCTGACCATCAGAAGATGATGTAGAGAGCTGTGCTGCACATCAATAGGATGTTTTGTTTTATCTTTTTTTATTACTCTAAAGAACAAAAAGTGAGAAAGGGGTATGATCTCACTTTCGAGCTTCAAAGCTCATAAATGAATCTTTATTGCTTCTATTCAGCCTTTAAACAAATCAGAATGCGTTTAGTACTTCGATGCCTTTTGTTGGATGCATCTTTGTCTCACTGTCTTATTATTAACAAGTTTCATTCTTTCTCTACCTTTTGGGGTGGAGATCAGGTCTACGTACATGGTACATCTCACCTCCCCCCTCCACCCCCTGCATGCACAGGCCCCATTTTGCGTGGGATTGTTTGGTTTGGTTTATTTTTTCTGTAGCTATTTTGCATGCAAGCTTTTAGTTGTTTCCTTAACTGTATGCTTTATAGACTTTATCCTGTGCATGTCTGAGGTTGTGTTATGTTTTTCTTCCACCCTAAACTAGTTGTTGGAAACAGATATTGCAGTAATTACCCTCTCTATTCAGCTATTAGTTAACTTGCCATTTTCATGAGTTACCACCGCATGACTAAGATAACTGTGACCCTTATAGTTATTGTTCCAGAAATTGAAGTTGAACTTTGTGCTATTGCAAATAAGAGCATGGTTTAGTAGCTCATGAGTTCTGGCTTTGATTGTTCAAACAGGTGCCACAGTGGAACCATTTGGTTCATTTGTGTCTAACCTCTTTACAAAATGGGGGGATTTAGATGTATCCGTTGAGTTACCCAATGGTTCATACATTTCTGCTGCTGGGAAAAAGTACAAGCAAACTTTACTATTAGACATACTAAAAGCTCTAAAAAGAAAAGGTATGCTTCAAGTTTTCGGGATTTGTTTATTGCCTTTCATATGATATTACATCAATTTGGTTTCCAGGGTACTACTTTATGTATTTGTGGTCATAAGCTTTCCGAAATCATCTATGAGAGCTTCACAAGGTTTTTATCATATTCATGTCACTACTGCCTCATAATATTGTATTCACTTGCATTAGAAGGTCAAAGGAACGAGATGTGTACTTATATATATTAAATCATTAGTGGCCTGTTTATAAATACCTGTATTTTGATATTATCAATAATATCTATTCACAGGTGGATTCCATGGGATAAAATGTATTTCCCATGCAAGAGTGCCTATCTTGAAATGTGATAGCAACAAAGACAATATCTCTTGTGATATTTCTATCAACAATTTGAGCGGCCAAATGAAGTCTAAAGTGTTGTTTTGGATAAATGAGATTGACGGGCGTTTTCGTGATATGGTTTTACTTGTATGTTCTTTCTTACCGACTATAAATGATACTGCAAAGAATAACATTCTATATGCTGATGAGCAATGCTTGTGTGCAGGTTAAAGAATGGGCGAAGGCGCATGGTATCAATGATCCTAAAAGTGGAACCTTAAATTCTTATTCCCTAAGCTTACTTATAATATTCCATTTTCAGGTGATTTTTAGCACTTTTTTGTACAGATACTGATACTATTTTGGTAATTTCTATTACCAAGTGTTCTCTGTTGCAGTGAAACCATTATTCTTGCAACTGCAACAAAAACGTTATGTTTTACAAGAATGAGAAATTTTGAACAAGAAACGCCAAGTATTATGTTTTTGTTTTGCATTTACATTTCTACCACAATCCCAAACCTCTCATTCTTGCGAACTAGTGTTTTTTGGCATTTTTTCAGCGAGTTTGTTGGCAACGAAAAACCAAACATAATGGTTCAAAAATCAATCACTCACTGTAACATGTATCATCATAACTGCCAGATTTCTGGTAATTTATACTTTGCATCACCAATCACATAAGAGTGAACGATACTTCTATAAAATCTCTTGTTTTCGTTTGATGCATCAAAAATGTTTTTGATCTCCACTATTTTCTTATCTTCTAATAGTTTCTGTCTCAATATTCTTGCAGACTTGCACACCTGCTATTCTACCTCCGCTTAGTGAAATTTACCCTGGGAACGTGGTTGCTGACCTTACAGGTAGTATTTTTATACATGCTTGAAAATTTAAATGCATATTTTCTTCATGTTCTAAAAGCCTAAAATCCCATGCAAACCATGATAAAATTTAACTTTTGTTAGGTTTGCTGTTATATTCAATTGAGATTTATACATACTGAACTTAGAAACCATAACAATTAAGATATGTTATAAGAAAGCAACATGATACCTGTTTTTCCTTGTATTTGTTAAAATCTAATGATATTTATGACGGGGTTGCCTAAGATCCCAATATATTTTGTAAAACCCTTATGAAAACGGTCTCTCTCCCTTGGTAGGAATGGTCTATGTTAATAGTCAAATCTGGTAATGTTTGTCTTATTTCTTTCTAAAAGAGATTACAAAATATATATAACATCAAGAAGCCTAAATGAGGAAAAATTAAAACTACTACAAGGAAAGGTAAACTAAACTTTACTATAGTTAACACTCCTCAAGTTGGAATGGAAATGTTAACCATGCCCAACTTTATACAAATAAAGTCTAATTGAGTTTTCTGCAATGGCTTCGTGAGAATGTTTGCAATCTGGTGTTCAGTCTTGATGTGTACTGGTTGGATGACATCCCAATGACTTGTATAGGGAGCAGACCGTAAACTAGCTCAAGACACTAACCGGGAATGAAATATCTAGTCGAGTAACTGTCATATAGTTTAAAATTTTCAACTAGTCTCATGTATCTCTTGGGATCCTTCATAGGACTTCCATTATCCAGAAGAAGCTTTCCTGTAGCGAGCAACGGGCTGTCCATCCCAATAAACCACACTTAATAAGCATATCAACAACATATCTCCTTTGAGAGGAAGAATCCCTTGTGGAGATCGAGTTACTTCTATCCCAATGAAGTAACAAAGTCTTCCAAGATCAATAACTTGAAAGTGAGTCTATAGAAATTCTTCTAGTTCTAAAATACCGGTGTTATCATCTCCGGTAATAATAATAATGTCATCTACATAGACCACCATTTTGATACATCGATTGTCATGGTGTCTAAAAAACACAGAATAATTCTGGAAACTGTGGTCCTACCAAACTTCTGAAAAAAACATCCAAACCATGCTCTTTAAGACCATACATTGAATGTCGAAATCGGCATAACCTTATGGCCTCCTCCTCAATAACAAACCCAAGTGGTTGTTCCATGTACAACAACTCAAGAATGCGATTAATAAAGGTGTTCATGGACTATGTTAAATGGCAGCCAAAGCGATACAAATGCAAATTGACCACATTTTAGCCACCGGGGAAAATGCCTCGTCATAATCAACCCCATGGGCTTGAGAACCCTTGGCAACTAATCGGGCTTTTAAACGATGCAGTGAACCATTAGGATTAACTTTCATTGTAAGAACACACTTGCAACCCACTTTACGCTTTCCACAAGGAAGTTGTTCCAGATCCCAAGTATGATTTTTCTGTAAGGCATCCATCCCTTCTTGCATTGCCTTAAACCATCATGGGTGATTAAGAGCCTCAGTCACTTGTGGGAACAACATGGCTATCAATGGTTGTGGTGTAGGTACTCAACTATGACTAGAAGTGAAAGTAGGCAAGGTAATCATGAATGGGATATCGGGTGTGAGTCCGTGTATCTTTTCTGGAAGGCAATTGTACCCGCTTCTGTTTGTATGATTTGCTTGCCTGTCTATTGGAATGTTGGTTATTTCTGACCCATTTTCATATTCTAGTACAACCTTTCATATTTTCAAGTTTTTCCTTATCTTTATGTTCACATTTTATTTTTTTATTTATGGAGCAAGTTCTATTCTTTTCTTTTTGTGAACTTTGCACAAGCCGGGCGTCTTCACGAAACAACCACTCTACTCTTCAAGGTAGAGGTCAGGTCTGCATACACCCGCCCCCCCCCCCCCCCCCCCCGGGTGGGGCATTTACTAGGTTCATTTGGTTTGGTTTGATTTGATTGGTTTTGGCTTGAGTATAAAACTTGAACATCTAGAACCATGTACAAAGTGGATGGAGCTTAGGTATAGTGCAAATATGCAATAATAAAATTTGTGAAACAGGTATAAGAGCTGTTGCAGAGAAAAACATTGAAGACATGTGTGGTATGAACATAAACAGGATTAAATCAGATAGGTCAAGAAGGATTAACAGAAGCTCTTTGGCCGAACTATTTGTTTCATTTCTTGCAAAGGTAAGTTTATTTTATTATTATAATTATTATTAGTTCACGAGCATCAATTGCTGTTTAGGGATTTTGAATGAAATCCAATCAACCATAAGCAAACATTTTGTGAAAAATATTTCACATCGAGTTATTCAAGATGAAGGTGTATAATGTTTCTTACGATATCAATATTTGGTAGCCTAATTATAGTAATAATGTTTGGTAGAATTGGTCTTGTAAAATGCTTTACCACCTTCCAAGATCCATCACTTTGGACTAACAAGTGAACCTAGAATATTTCTTGCCCAAATTTTAATTTACTTATGAGGTGGTAACAGTTCATTTACCACATTGTTAATTTTAGACGTTAATGGGTGTATTTTGTTGTTCTTTTATCAGTTTCGTGACATCAGTTTGAGGGCCTCGACACAAGGGATTAGTCCTTATAATGGACAATGGGAAGACATTAATACCAACATGATCTGGCAGCCCAAAACTTATGCACTATTTGTACTTGCCTCTCTCTCTCTCTCTCTCATATATAGGGGAAGGTCCAAATGAGAATCATAAATATTTTGAGAACTGTGAGAATCAGTATATGTATATACATCAAAATATGTATATGTCAATGGGTATTTTCATCAATGCATACATACTATGTATGCAAGTATATATGCATTGATGCATGTACTCACTGAAGTGTATATGTACCAATGCATATATTGGTCTTAAAATATTTACAGTTCTTAATAATGATGATGATGATGATGATGAACTGATTTTGGTGGTCATAGATTGAGGATCCATTTGAGCAACCAATGAATTGTGCAAGAGCTGTTGGGCACCTAAACCTTGTGAAGATTGCACAAGCATTTGAAAGTAGCCATGGGATGTTGGCATCTGCGTACCAGAACCACCATCCACTTGCGGTGCTAGTGAGGCCTGAAGTGTTGAGCATTATTTCTAGATCTCAATTCGGTAATCCTCTAAGAATTCATCCACAGCTTCACGTTGGCAATGGCAATGGTAATGGTAGGGGCCTAATTGGGGATCATCCACAGTCGTTCAGAAACAGCAGTAACAATGGTAGTAATCAACACCAGAATAGGGACGGTGGTGGTTCACGTGCACCCACACATGTACAACAACAATATATGCATCAAACCAACAGGGTGAATCCGAGACATGTTCAGATGTTTCCGAATGGGGTGAACGAGAGCAATGGGAGGCCTTCATCTTCTCAAACTCAGCTGCAGCAGATATGGAGGCCAAGATCTGAGAAATGATTAGGTTTTGGTTTGAGCTTTGAGGCACACAGAATTGTTATTGGAAAAGATTTGTAACGAGTTATTCATGTTTATGTGCAATTTCAGGATTAAATATACATGACAGATCCAATATCTTTAGAATGATTCTAAACTGCAAATCTGCTTTCAAAGATGTCCATGTTTTTTGCAATCTCTCAAGGTGTTGCTTGCAACTATGTGTATATGTGCATGCACAAATTCATAAACAATTTTTTTCAAATAATTACATGATGTATTATTTATGATTAATAATGTTGAATAATCGTAAATATTATTTATCATGCATTTTCATCGTGAATAAAATATGAATGGTTTTTTTTAACTTTTTAAAATATTTACAGTTAAGTGTCCCGTCTCTCACATATATTAGCTATTACATGAAACAGTTGTATTGTAACAAGGTCTGCATACATCTTACACCTCAACCTTTGTATGAGATATATCGGGTTCGTTTTGCTTGGTTTATGAAAAGGTTGTACCAATGTTGACAAAACATCCTGGTGTATACGTTAAATGCGTACACCGGTCTATCATCTTTTTGGCACTATTTAGAGCAGGCAGAAAAAACTAACATCAATCCATGGGACCTTCAAAGGAGAGTGAATTGAAATGTTTCAAGTCGAAAATCCTCGACATAAATCAATTTTACATAAAACTAGTAACCACTACTAAGAGTTGTACATGTACCTGTAGAAACTGTAAGAACTGAAGGGGGAAAGAATGAAAAAAAAACATTTTTTTGTCTATATGAACAGCGGTGAGTTCGCCCTTGAATTGATTACCGGAGGCGTTTATCACATGTCAGGATTCTATAACTTGCATGAGGCCCCTCGGCCGTATCTCGTTGCGTTACATGCCAACCCATGGCCTTCCCGATCTCTTGAAGTTCATCTATCACCATAATAGAATCACGAATGTACACTCGTCCCCCAGGTCTTAAAATTCTATTCATCTCAAGCATGATGCTAGATATGTTGCATCTGATATCAAACCACAACATAAGGGGTTGCATTCAGAAACATTAATTACAAAAAAACCATTTTATCCCCCATTATGTAACCAGAATTTTGAAGAATTAACACATGGTTTTCTATTATTCAAGTAGAGAAACCATTCTTCTTATGGCAAACATATAATCCCCATGCCCTAAACATTCAAGAGGAGAGATACCTTTTTTGTTCAACTGAGAAAAGACCGGCTGCATGCAAGAAATCGTAGGTTCTTGGGTAAGTGTCAAATGGTTCGCACCTGTGAATAATGGTACAACAGTTCAGATAGTTTCGGTCATATTTTACATTTAGGGTCGATCAAAATGGGAACCAAAAAAAGAAACACAAAAACGATTACGAGGGATGTGACGAGTACCAGTCATGCATAACTCCTAGAAGCCCACGATCATAAATGACGGGTAAGGTGTTTGGACCACTAACAGGAACAACATTCATAACCCAGCAATCTAGTTGATTATCAATCAAGGCTGCTGCAAATCTGCCAGAATAAAGAGACTGACTGAATTTAGAGAGAGCAATACAGGAAATATATACATATATATGGCATGATGGAATAAAAGATTACCCTCCAAAGCTGGCTCTCATGTCCATAACATTTCTGAGTTTGAATTTTTTCCAGTGTAAAGAGCGCACGTAACTATCTATTATTTCTTTCCAGTATTTTGATTCTGCTTTAAAGAGATCCTTTCTAGATACAAAGGCGTCAAGCTTTATGCTTTGGAGCCTCTCGGGAGGATTATGCAGTCTTGCGGGCCATGTGGTGATATTTGCTCCAGATCCGTCCTCAGGCAGTGGAGTAATACATGGCTTCAAATCTACATACCTAAAACGACAACAAATTGATATAATTAGTTTTTATTTAAATATAATATCTATCAAGAAAGGGAGTGCAGAGAACTTCTCAACACTACAACAAAATCAGCTTTATAGGACGTCAAATACGTCTAAATGTCCTAATAGACTGCGTTACAAGACTTAAGTTTATAGGACTAAACAATTGTGCGTCCTATGTAAAGGTGTTACAGTAGGAAGTTAGGACGTATTCAGGCATCATAACTAGTTTTTAGGACAGTTTTGATCGTGTTAGCTTTTTTACAGAATACTTTTTTAGAAGGGTCCTATAAACAGTCTTTTTATAGGACACTTGTTTTTATAAGACAAATGTTCAAATAATGCCATATAAAAAGACTAATAACACGCTTTATTTCAAAGGTGTCCTATAAAACATGTTAAGACGCCCAAAAACGTTTTATCAACTTATGGTAACACCTTTACATACGACAGACAACTGCTTGGTCCTATAACCTTTAGTTCTATAAAAAAGTCTAATAGGATATTTAGATATATTTTATGTTTTATAAAGCTGATTTTGTCTTAGTGCAAAGAATGGTAGAGAGCACTTTAGAATGCAAAACCATATATTCTAGCGTCAAAAATAAGAAAATATAAAACACAAAGATCCATGTATCACCAATTGAGGCCATGGAAGGCCAACACACAAAGATATGGTTGGTCAAATTATAAACATGTATGAAAGAAAAGCATATGCTAATTTTGAAAAATTGCAATATGAACAACGAAAAGAATACATGATACAAACGAGCCAAAGAATAGCAATTCACCAAACATTGTCAGGGTCATCCTCCTTATCACACAATTGCGGTTGGGTCCCTGGATCATGGCTTAAATAACAACTGTTGTCAAGGGGTTTCTGCCATATTGCAATGTACCCCTCCTTCTTGACAAGATTCCAACAAAGACGGTTTGTGAGGTTGATCATCACTGAGAAATGTAAATAAAAAATGTAAACAGATATATCATCATACTGGCAAAGTGTCTAACCCAAGAGACCAGCTAGCAAATAAGTTCTAGATTATAAACCATTCTAACAGCAAATGATAATGTTACCGTCCCATTGTTCTTCTAAGAGTGCTTCATGCTTGTAAACTGGTTGTGCTGCCCACACAAAATATCCTCCGGCCCTAAGCAATCTGTTGACCTCAAGCAGCAAAATCCCATCTACATCGTAACAGATGTAAAAAATTGAGGAAAATTAAACATGCCCCATCTTTTGGTAACTCAGGCTAATATATACCGACAAGAACTAGCGATCACACATGACGTGGAGACTCAAAAAATAAATAAAACAGATTCATTTGATAACCTGCGCATGTAAAGTCAAAATCTTTTACAAGCTTACAACATTGACTGGGGCAACAAGAATTCAAAATTTGGAACCAAGGGAACTGAACCACACTCTGGAATAGCGACTTACTGGCTAAGATGATAACAACTTAACAAGAATAAACTCAAAATTTGGAATGTTGCTAAACAATAAGCTAGCGACAGCCACCACAACAGTCGCCTGCCAGATAACGCAAACTGCATACCATCAGCGTCCTGCGGCCCTGCCCAACCTACAAGCACCAGACAGACAACTTGTCCAGTCCTGTCATGTCTAGGTACCAAATGCTACCTAAAAGAACAACTGAAACCCTACAAGGCAAACCATGCACCACATGCCTCCATCCCCACCATGCTGGACTGGAATGCTGGAAATAAAATGGTGGCCAGAATTGCTGACGAGGGTCTGACTTGGGATTCTACAACTACAGCTCTACCAAGCAGCCACAGCTGCCACCATTGCACGGCCAAAACTGAAAATCCAGTGATGAAGAGATTTAGCACTATCTGACCGCCGCACACCCATTGTATCACCAAACCCTATCCCAGCCTCTAGGAAAACCAAGGGTCGATGATGCACAATCACCGCCTGATCTGGCCTTGCCTAAGAAATTAGAACACATAACAGTGGAACGGATGGCAAAGGCGGACCTGGTCATGGTTGGATGAAAGTGCGTATTGTCAGAAGAACAACAATGGCCAAAGACAGCAATGACTCTGAAATGACAATCCAAGGGCACTAACCTTCCCCCCGCCGCCACTTCTAATCCTACCAACAAAAACTGAAACGACCGGGAAAAACCGACAGGCAATGGGTAGATCTACAACCTAATGGTGGCAGCTGTGATCATTACCTGGAAACTACCTGCTAATCTTACAGACTGAAAAAACCAACAAAACTGGTTGGACATGTTACTGCATCTTTTGCTTCCCAATTAACACAGCTAAACTTGAGCTTCATGTACTTAAAACATCCGATGATGCAATTTTTTTTTTTATCAATTTACACCAAATGGTTATATTTTGTTTTAGAATCTTAAAAGTAATTAGGTGATCCACAGTTATCACTTTATGAAGAAAACAAACAAAAAGGACAACCATATATAACATAACTCCTTGCTATTCTTAGCAACCAAAAATAATAGTCCATCACCATGAAGGCTTACCATCACGAGTCCAATTAACTCTACATCTTGAGCAATGAATTAAATCAAAAGCCTGGCTTGGATAAAGCAGTCGCTTTGTTGCAAAAGCTGCTACCATTGCAGGTATACCACGCTCTAGCGCAAACTGAATCTGGTTCTCGTGTACATCTTTCGGAGCTACGGACAAAGTCAGTACGTTCCGTGAAGTTAAATAGGCACCAAAACTTGCCACACCACATCCAACATCCAATACGACCCGGGTATGGCGTCCAAACGCAATGCCTGGAATCATCTACCAAGACCAAAACCAGACCAGAACATCAACTACAAACTTGTAATACTTCATTTGAGAACTATAAGAAGCAAAATCGTTGGAATTCCCTTTAAGATCATACCTGTGAAATCTGATCCAAGTACTGATCTGCCCCATGTATGAACTGTGTGCCACCTCCAGGAAACCTAAATTTATCCTTGTATACAGTAATCCAGTTTTGACCACCCTTATATTCCGCTAGTTGTGCATGCGGAACATTGCTATACCACACCTGTGTTAAGTGCAAAACAGGTCACCAAAAAAGATAAGGGCCAATTATATCGCTAATATCCAAGACAACGTTAAACTAGGTAACCGGTGTATGAATAACATTCCTTGCACCATCATTGGTTGTGTGTGTGTGTGTTATCCATGGATATTGAAAAGATTGGTTGATTTCTGCTGGGCTATCTTTTTCTTTATAGATACTCGGTTCAAAGCCAATTACAAATTATTATCAGATGTTCTGGTTCACAAGGCACTGCCTTCACCATTCTGTTTACAATCAAATTTATTACAGAAACAGAGCAAGTTGGTTCTTAATCCAATTATACTAGACTAACAGTATATGGAAATCAGAAAACTAAAGAAGAGTGACTACCTCATCACGACTTCTTGGCCAAGGAATTGGAGCTTTGTAACCCTTGGGTGCTGGCACCAAGCAGGTCAATCCCTTATCTTTATCCGGGCAATGGCGCTCAAACTTTTCCCCTTTCTCCGTAGATGTCAATCCCTTGACGGCCTCCACATTGTCCATACAAGGTATATAATCCCTCATACTCGTCCGGCACATCCCGAACTTCCGGACCCCAACATTAACCCTAACCCCTTTGCTATCACCTTCCACCACTTCCGTCTCATTATTCCAATCCTCCATCACACTCGGATCAAACTCCCCGACCTCAAAATCATTCCTCATCACCCCATTCTCATCCACTAGCCCTAGCCTCTGCACTGCCGGCTGTGGTGGCGGAGGAGGAGGTGGTGACGGCGGCGGAGGCGACTGAGAAGGCAAAGATGACTGCGGAATCGGAGCTAATGTATGATCATCTCGGATTTCTGCTTCCTTGGTATTGTTGATTAAAGAAACGATATCGAAAGTTTTATTGTGATTTGGGGAAATTGAGATCGATGGGGTTGTGGCATTTTCGTTTGAGTTAGAATTAAAGAAGATAACTTGTTGATAATTGTCGTCGGACCAGTGTTTACCAAAGTAGAAGAAAGCTAGAGCTACAAAGACGAATCCGGCAGATTTTACCAGACTTGAAGATTTCAACAGATCAAATCCCTTCATCTTTGTTACCGCATTACCTGATCCAATCCCTTCTCTTTCCGTGGTCTTTTGTGCATATACAATTATGCAAACACTCTACAATTCAACAAACTCCATGCGTATTCTCGCTGCCATTAAAAAAGAGAATCAGAGCTTCAACTGTGTCAGCGATACACTGAAGTTCTTGCAGTTGCTCTCTCTCTCTCTCTCTCACACGCACACACGCTACGTATGGCCCTAAACGACGTGGATATATATATATATATTATATAGGAGAGTGTCTGTGTGTATTTCGTGTACGATTGAAGGGTTCAAGAAGAACGGAGGATGATTACGTCGTGATCCTCGGTTGCTGATGGGAATATACATTTAAGACCCTAAACTTTTTCATAAAACCATTTTAAACCCTGAAAATTAGAACTTCTTCCAAACATTCATGATTAATGTTTTATGCTTCTTCTTTTCCATCCAATTATATCTAGTTCCATTTACATAACAAACGTATCATTTATGATCCTTTTGACAGGTGAAATTTGTTAGAAGTTCGGTGGGTACCGGATATTTCAGAATATCGTTAGGTGTATAATCTTAAATAAAATTTTAATTAATCCATAAGTATAATAGTATCTTTAACAGCTTCTCTAAAATAGAGAAAATCAACTTTTTGTTTTTTATAATGCTCCAATATTTTCTCTATATTCTTCTTTAAAATAGAGAAAAGATGAAAAAGTTCTAAGTTTAGAGAATTCTCTAAAGAGAAATGATTATTTTAATCTGTCCACCAATGAGATTAATTATTATTATTATTTGATATAAAATTTCTTTTTAAGAGTGTATTAAGATGATAAATTAGATAATGTTATAATAATATAATTTATGTTAAAATCTTTAAATTAGAGAATCTGTTAGAGTTGAATGTAATTTTTTTTAACGACTTTGACTTTTGGTTTTTAGATAAATTATAAAGAACTTGTGGGAGATGATATTTTTTTTACATAAATTAGAGGGTCATAAATTTAATTAAAAACTCATTTAAAGTCATATTCTTAAATACAGTGGTCAGGTTGATATCTTTTAAACTTAGAAACCAATTAATCATTAAGCACCAGTTCAAGGGCCAATATGCATATTTCTTAAATGAACTTCAATTAATTGGACCAAGTCACTGTCTTAAAAAATCTAGACAATAATTTTGATTAATAATATGTTATATATATATATATATATATATATATATATATATGATAATGATGAATATGAACAAATAACAAAACCCATTTAATGATAGCATGAACAATACCAATCATACAAACAACCTAAACCTAAATCCAAATAAAACAATAAGAAACTCTAAATCAAAACCCTAGATTTGTGAATACATTCGTATTTGAATTTTACAGAACAAATCAAACTTGAATCTAGAATTCGAAATCAAAACTCTACACCAAAATTATTCGATCTTTGTCTTCTGTTTGCTTCATTGATGTGTTCATCTAAATCATTCGAAATTAAAACCACCGCGTTCATAAACCAAAACCATTGAGTTGGAAATTGAACTCATTTAAATCTGAATCGTTCGTAAACCAAAACCCTTTTCGAGTTTGTATCATGATGGTGCAAAACAAATCCCACAAATGGAAGTTCAACTGCTACGGGGGAGGTGAGGGTTGATTTCTCCGAAGCTATGAGGAGGGGGAGGGGGGTGTTCAAGGAGGGTACTGATCGAGAGGGGATGGTGGATTGATAAAGGAGATGGAGTTCACGTTGTGTTTTGTGTTTTTTTTACCGTATACATATAATATATGCTAGAAGGATACTGCGAAATACATTTCGATTTTATTGTTCCTTTTATTCTTTGTCTATTGATATAATACAGTTTTATATGGTTTTAATAAAGTGATAATGTTTTTATTTTTGAATAAAATATAAAATTTGAAGATATTGTAATCAAAATTTTGAAAAAGATATCGATATTAGTATCAAATTAACTGTTTAAAAGTTATTTATTTTTTGTGTAATCCTTTGATTCAATTTTTATTATAATTTATTTTAGGTTGATCAATTTATTTTTGGTTTAATAATATAATTGTTTTTAAAGATAATAATTAAGTATTTTATTAGTTTAATAACAAATCAAATAATTAAATATTATACTAGAACTCAACGATTATTCTAATTATATTTTAGACTTTTTAGATTTTTTATATTTAAAATGTGATGTCTATTATGTATATGATTATGTTTATCTACAGTTAGTTACACAAATTCAAAAATGGAGGTATAATAAGTTGTATACTTGTAATATTAAATTTTAAGTAATATATATCAATAAACAATACTTCATGTATAAAAAATGGTTTTTAAGAATTTTTGTCAAATGTTTTAAAATATATTAAATTTTAAATAATATACATCAGTATTAATTTATTTTTTTCTTTTAAAAGAAATAAGAAAAAAAGGGATAATTACAAAATTGCCCTCGTATGAGCAGCACGTGGGTGACTAACAAAGTTGTAGTTAACCGTGTTAACTCTATGGATCATTTTAAGTCATAAAATACAAAAAATAGACCAGTGATGTATTTTACAAATTATAGGGATCAAAACCAGAAAACATCAATAGACAAGGGACCAAGAATGTAATTCAGTCTTCATTTATTGATAAAAGAGAAAATATGGAAGGAAGGAAGGCAAGTGAGTGACGTCATTGTGTATTGACCAAATTATTATTAGCATCAAACACGTAGGGGATGTTCAGTTCATCCTGATTTCATTTTTTGTGTTTCAATTTCTCCTTTCAAACCCCTCGCCCTCCGCCCCTCCGGCTACCAATCTCCGCCCTCATTACCACCCCGACCTCCTTCGCCAAATCTATTTCTCCGACGTTTATTCATAGTCCAACTTCTTTACCCCTCAACAATTTCCCTAGAAAATTCCCAATTGCCAGCCAATTCTTATGCTAGGGTTTTAAAATGCTTGTCAATAATTTCGATCACGGGATCAAGTCGGATTCTAAATCGATAAACGAGTCGGTGAATGGCTCTCATGATTTCACAATTAGAGGCTACTCCCTCGCTAAAGGAATGGGTGCCGGTAAATATATATCTAGCGATACCTTCTCGGTCGGTGGATACGATTGGGCAATTTACTTTTACCCCGATGGGAAGAATTTGGAGGATAATTCCATGTACGTTTCGGTGTTCATAGCTTTGGCGAGCGACGGTACGGATGTGAGGGCGCTGTTTGAGCTTACCTTGTTGGATCAGAGTGGGAAAGGAAAACACAAAGTCCATAGCCACTTTGATCGAGCGTTGGAGAGTGGGCCTTATACTTTAAAGTACCGAGGAAGCATGTGGTATGTGTAGTTAGGAATTATTGTTTTATGAAGTATATAATTGAATATTTGAATTGTATGAATTCCTAGTATTTTAACACCATGTTTATTAGCTATGCTGAATTGATTATAAAGTAAAGAAACTGGGTATGCATTTTACAGTATTTTCTTTAATAATGTTCCAATGTTCAAGCTTCCAGAATTAGGGCTTGGCTTTCTGAGGGTGCTGAATTAGTTTCTGTTTGTGAAGTTACCAAGATAAACTTAGAATTGGATAAAAAAGTTTTCACGGATCGTGTGTTTGAAGTTTGAACAAATCATAGTGCGTATTTCATTATCATCTGAACAAAAAGTTATAGTTTCTATTTCACCTATGCTTTGAGATGTAATTACTGGTTTTCTTAGTTTCCCCAGTTAAAATTTTGTCTTTGTTAACTAGATTAATCTTGATAATCCTTTATTCAAGGATCCAATCTTTTCGTGACTACATGATTTTAAGAGACTTTTTTGTATATGATAATCAAAGGGAGTGGGAAAGCTGCAGTAATTCTTTGGAAAAGCCHGCTTCTCTTTGTCTTCGAGCTTGAATTCTTCAATCCACTGATTCGTTCCTTCATATACCTCCCCACCAATAGATAGAGACAAATGGGAATAACCGAACCACGTCTACAAAATGCCAGTACCATGCAGCTGCTTCAAAGCCAACGTGATGCTCCTTGGTCAGATGACCAAGATATTGGCGAATACCACATATGATCGAGAAAAGAGTACCTACAATCACATGAAAACCAGGGGTGTTTGGTTAGAGGTATTAAGCAGTAATCAATGAGAATGAAAATAAAAGAAACTGTTTGGTTTTCTATAGTATAATGGCCTTATTCCCCTAGAAGCCCAAAATTTCATTTCTGGTTAAACCGGGGGGAATGAAAAATTCGTTCCCTTTTTCATTCCCTGTCATTTTCATATTCATTCCCATTTTCGTTCCTCAGCATGAGCCAAACAGACCCGAGTAGTGTGATCAATTTGTTAGTTGGCCTCTTGTAATTTGCAGGCACTATGTTACTTTAAATGTTCATGGAGAACTTGTATGAATAGATTATTTGCCTAATTCACTAATCACAGTCTACCAAATTAACTTCAAACTTGAAAGTGGAATTTCCTAGTTGATTGATGACGAGGTGACTTTCGACTAAGGTCCAATGTGGAAAACACCACAGGGTAGTTTCTCAACGATTTTGAAACTATGAACTATTAGCTAATACAATATTTTTACTTTATTTTGGCAGAAAACACCTAGAATATGGAAATTATGTTTGACACAATGAATTTCTCTATCTCCATTGTGTATATCTATTTGCATCTAATATGCCTTTAACGGGGTAGTCTGGTAGTCCTTTGACCACTAGTAAATCACGAGTCATTGGTCAGGCCCGTACCTGTCCCCTTAAAAGAAATTAGTATTTTTATTTGAATGACGTCTATGACTTAAAAGAAAGAGCATCATTTTAAACGTCATACTTCAACCATTGGCTCTCAAGATTTTCAAAACCAAACCAAACGTTATCTTTTCTGTCTTGCGATCTATTTCTGTGAGTGGTGATTATGATGCATGCCAGATATGTTGGGAAGTAGCAGGAGGAGGAAAACAATTTTGTTATTCGTCGGGGTCATGTTGTTGACATAAACTAAGTCTTCCAATATGGTCACACCTCAATTTTTATATTGTTACGCTGCCATAGTTTTGATCACCAGTATAGGAGGAAAAGTAAAAAATCACATGTGATTGGACTGTTAATTTTGCATAAATGGAAATGAACCACTTCATATCTTATTACTATGACTTTTAAACAGAGTTGCCTATATTCAATCAATAATTTGCTGCTTTGGCGCCTCATCCAAGTATCCTCTGTTCATTTCAGGGGTTACAAGCGTTTCTTCAGGAGGGTAAGTTTGGAAACATCTGATTATCTCAAGGATGATTGCCTTTCAATGCATTGCACTGTTGGAGTTGTCAGAAATCGTGTGGAAGGAGCCAAGCATTTTAGCATTGCTATACCACCATCTGACATGGGTCAAAATCTCAAATACTTGTTGGAAACTGAAACTGGCTGTGATATAGTTTTCCATGTTAGGGATGAGACTTTCAAGGCTCATAAATTGATACTTGCAGCTCGGTCTCCTGTTTTTAGAGCCCAGTTTTTTGGACTTGTTGGAAATCCTAACATGGATGAAGTAGAGTTGAAGGACATTGAACCATCTATTTTCAAGGTAATAGACATTGGCTACCCCCTCCTTTTTTTGGGTAACTATTTTCCTGACAAAATGAATGGCACACAAAAATTCACTCTAAACTGTAAAAGGGAGGATGTTTTTACATATGTTTTCTGAGGGCCTGCCCATTAGCTGTCCCACTAAGCGTGAGGTGTCAGTTTTGGCTCCCCTTGGAGTTCTCTCTAGCAGGAAGAAAAAACATGAAAAGAGGAAAGTGAAGACAAGATAGCAGTTATAAAAATTTTGTACACTCGATTCTTTTTTGCATTTTTTGTCGTTTCATTGTACTGTGGCTCAGATTATATAGGTGCGTATGTTTTGCAGGCTATGCTTCTGTTCGTTTACTCAGATAAGCTTCCTGATTCACAAGAAATCACGGATTCAATGTCAATGTGCACATCAACTAACGTGATTCAGCATCTGTTGGCTGCTGCTGACCGCTTTGGTCTAGATCGGTTGAAACAGTTGTGTGAAGCGAAATTGTGTGAAGAAGTTAATGCTGATACGGTGGCAACAACCCTTTCTCTTGCTGATCAGCACCGCTGTTCTCAGCTTAAGGCCATCTGTCTGAAATTTGCTGCGGCAAACTTGGGAGGTGCGTGTTGTCCGTAGAATCTGAGCGGTGCAATGTTCAGGTTATGTCAATTTCAATATTTTGATTGTTTACTCTGCAGAAGTTTGTTAATGTGCATTCTTGTGTATCACAATTGACTAATAGAAGGAAGTTCAACTTTGGTGATCATGAGAAATAATATGGAAAAAAACGCTCACATGAAGTGTGTGAGGGGTCTGCGTTTATATAGACATGGTTTCATATTTGTAGGTTTCTGGATCCTTAGCATGCAAATCTGTCACCTTTTATTCTTCAACGTCTAGAGTTACTATCAAGTTTCCACAGAAATTGGCCATGATGATTGATTTACTCTTTTATAGAATTGTAAATGTGGGAACTAAAGCAATGTCCACTCTCTTGCTGGTTTTGCTATGATATACGATAATGAGGGCGTGTTTGGTTCGTTTTAAGAAATGAGAACATGAATGAATATGCGGGGGAATGGAAATGAATATACCAATTGCATTGTTTTACATTGTTCTGCATTCATTGCATTGTTGACATTTGGTAATCAAAAAAAGAAGAAGAAAAAGAACGATGGTCTCTCTCCTCTTTTCTTCTTCTTGTTTCTTCATTAGCATTTAACACAAAAGAAAATCGAACCTCGAATGAGTAACAGAGCTGAAGAGTATCAGAAGAGCATATGTTTGCAGAATGAAGAACATCAAATCAGAACAACATATGTTGGCAGAGTAAAGAAAACCGAAAAATAGATGACAATTGCACCAGAAATGAAAATATTACCATAGATGGAAATCCCAATAAATTAGTGTTAGAGTTGCACAAACCATGGATGGTGGGAGCTTACCATAGTTGGAGGAGGAACTAATTTTGTTCCAGATTGTGATTTCTTGAGAGAGAGAGAAAGAGAGAGAGGGAGAGGCACCATTGTTGATTCTGAGAGAGAAATGACCATGGATGGTGGGAGCTCACCATTGTTGGAGGAGGAATTTTGTTCCAGATCATGATTTTTTGAGAGAGAGAGAGAGAGAGAGGGAGGGAGAGGCGGCAAGTTACAGTGAGAAGTTACTCATTCCCCCCAAATTGGGGAGGAATGGATATTAACTCATATACTATAATGAATAACTGCATTACATAAAACCAAACGCCATTAATTATTCCATTCCCATTCCTTAATTTAAACCAAACACCATCAATGATTATCATTTCCATTCCCCATCTTATAATACCCCCAACCAAACGCCTCCTGAGTGAACTTGAGACTCGATGGCATATGACACGGGATACCATTCTAAAACCGAAGCTACTCAATTTTTTGTTGCATGCCAATCATGGTGTGGCCGTGTGGGTGGTGTCTGGAAGAGAAATAGGAATATCGTTGGTGGTGGGGATTAAGATAACAATTGACGAGGAATGGGATAGAAATACAAATAATAACAATAAAATCATGGAGCCGAATTGGCACTTGTGGAAAGTGCTATAAGACCAACCTTTTTGTTGATTTAGAGCAAAAGGTCGGAAAGGGATGACTAACCTGTGTAACATATGCCAGGATCTATTCCTTGTTAAATGAAGTTTTCTGCCATGATCTAATCCTTGTTAAATGAAGTGTCCTGCCATGATCTAATCCTTGTTAAATGAAGTTTCCTGCCATGATCTAATCCTTGTTAAATGAAGTTTCCTGTTGTCCTAAACCAAAGATGGTTCATCGATCATAGAGCTAGACTACTATATTCGTTGGCACACAAAAACCTTGTGTGTGATACTAAAATTCCATACACAAAAATAATTTGACCTGTTTTGTGTTACCGCCATTTGAATAGGTAAGGAGAAGCATGTGCCCCTCACTCTGGCAATGGCACATTTTGAGGTCAAATAGATCAATTTCCAATTTCATCATTGTCATGTATTTGTTGTGTGCGAGTAGATATCGGTAGATACGGTAAATGTTATGGTGAACACTACAAGAAATACACAAGGGTTAATATGTATATAAGAACTGGTTTTCCACTTGAAAAGTAGTAGGTTTTCTTAAGTACTGATTATTGCTTATATTCATAATTTGTGTTGGTTCTTTTGTGAACCACAGAAACAGTTCCATGTTACTGTAGTCAAGGCTATGTGCGTCTGATCTTTGTTGTGCTGCTGATAGTTTCTAGTTATTAAAGTAAGAAATAACTGATTATGAGGCTTTATTTTTTATGTGGGCTTCGATTACGTTTGGATCTCATCCCTCTTTCATAACCTTAGTTCGGCATTGTATGATTTTTAAGTCATAAGATGTGCATTTTTGAGAAACATTTTAAATTGATGGATCCACCATCAGGTCTTGTGTTACTTTCATAGTGTAGTAGCAAAAATGCAATAATAGCAGGAATACTGCTTGTTAAAAATTTTGTAAAATATAAACTAATTTGCGTTTTAAAAAGTTTGAAACATGATCATTTTACTTTCATGGCTGATCTTAGGGTATTAGCCTGTAGGGTGACTCTTCTCTTCTTTGTGTAATCAGTTACTAGACAAAAAAATCAGGAGTTCTTGTGGTGTATCTCTGAGAGATTTGAGAGGTTTGTGTTATTGGTTCTCAGAGAGACGGTTCAGCTTCTTCTTGTGTTAAAATGCTTCAGTTGCCTTCTTATGACTTCATAATGAACATTTAGATCATTAATATCAGCATCTATAATATAATCACTATTAGAGTTGCACTATTTTAGTTGTTTTAAGTTTACCAAGGTTCATTGGAGTACTCTTTGCTGGAACTTAGCTTCTTAAGAGTTGAAAAGAGGTATTTGTTACTTTTCTTTATAACAAAAGAAGTTATGCACAGTTTTCTTCCCAGATGGGCTTATGTGCTGTTTGATTATGACTTTTGAAAAGATCGAACCACGAGTAGTTTGAAACTGGAACTTCCAGTGATACCATATACAAAGATGCCTGTCATCATTAGTGATGTTACACCACAGTTTCACTGTCATCAAGGTCAAGTATAGTCATGTCCATTGTTAATGCAGGCATTAAAACATCATAAAAAACACACTCATTTCTTTAAAAGTCGAGCATCTTAAGTTTAAGACCAATTCCTACATGCATTTAATGAGTTGCTGCAATAATAACTACCAGGAATTAACAACATCAGGATGTTGAGTGCAGAGTGCAGACTGTAGTATTTAAAGTACATGGATGATCTTTATATGTTTTCAGTGCTTTTAATCTATTTTTGTCTTCATACTTATTACTCCCTTCAAACATCGATTCTTGAAGGTTGTGTAATGCTTACTCGCCATTCCATTTCAACAAAAAAACCCACAACCAAGTTCATTTTGGGAATTGTAATGTTTGATTTCTGATGAGTATTTGTGTGTGCAGCGGTGATGCAAACAGAAGGGTTTAAATATGTAGAAGAGACGTGTCCATCGTTGATATCTGAGCTTCTTGAAACGGTTGCATCAGTGGCGGTGGACGAGAGATCAGGTGAAGGATCAAGTAGGAAGAGAAGTGGGAGCAGCGTGATGGGTTTAGATTTAACAGAATCAGCGGATCCTAACATGAGGCGTGTGCGTAGACGCCTAGACGGCGGATGTAATCTATAACATTTTTCTTATTATTTTTAGTTTCGTTTTGTTTTTCTTTTCTTTCCAACTGCAATGGAAAAATGAATCAAATTTCGGCTTTTTTATCAACTCAAACTGCTAAGCTTTTATTGCGCAACATGTTCATATTTAGTCTGCACATTTTGCTCTTTTTTATTTATTTTTTAGAGAAATAATCATCGTATACTTTTATATATCTGATAAACCTCCTATTTGAGAGTAAGGTGCCAGAGTATGTACAATATATATGTATGTGAAGTGTGGATCATTTGCAAACCGTTGTATTAGTATAACTTTGCAAACCTAATTTAGGGGTCGTTTATCAAACACTTGCTCTGTAAATGCTTACCGATAAAGTTTAACACTATTATTTATTTACCGGGTAAGATTTCAGTCCACTAAAACGACATCGTATGCAACAATTTACCTGACAAATGCTTACAGTGGTAATAGTCGTCGTTCTCACTTACCGGGTAAGACTCTTGGTTCTTGTCTCGTTTTTACCGGGTAAGATTTTTGATCTTTATCATATTCATTCGGTAAGGTAATGTGACTTGATAAGCGATTACATGGGTAACCATTTGGTAAATAGCCCCATAACCGTTCATCTAGTTTAATCAATATATGATTGAATGAATATCTCGTTTGTTTTCTAATATAAAACGTTAATCATAATAAATGGATCATGATAATCTTTCACAAATATCCATAACATAATAAATGTACACTTATTATTTCTATAAACATCTCAATTAATTGGTTTGTATAGTTTTTACCACCTCTATATATGTATGCATGCGTATATATTTATATCTATACTAACTTATAAAGCAAATAGATCAAATTTTAAAAACAAGTTTTAGTACATATAGTGTTGTTGTTTTATGCACAAAAACTTAAAATCTCTTAATTACAACATCTTAAAGCTTCATGTATAACTTCTACCAACTTTGTTTATATTCTCAACATGCCTCTCATCGTGGATCCAATAGTTCTCAAGGTGTCGATTCAGTGTTTCGAGGAGGCGATTTACGTTTTTAAACGATGATATTATATTTAATGAAACATTGATTTTTAACGATTCATAATTACCTCGATGCGTTTTTATCAAAGTAATGTGCTATGCAAATTCATCTTTTATGAATTTGGGTAAATTCATCAAGAAAATTCCGCTTTTGAGGGGAAAAAGAAAAACCATTAGAATACCATAAATAAGTTGTTAAGTTGTTTTTATGGAATATAAATGAACAATTAATATTTTAGATGATTTGTGAGAAAGTAAATAGGCTAAACATCATTATATCTACAATCTGCATATATCCATATAAAATTTAACATCCCAGGGGGTGCCAATGCCCTCTGTGGCTCCGTTGTGACTTCAATTGTCTTAGGGGTCGTTTACTAAATACTTACGGTAAGTGTGGATCAGGTAACTTTTCTCACCTGATGCACATGGCAAGGGCTGAAAATCTTACCCGGTAAGAGCGATGATATGATAGGGATAGAGAATTTTACTCGGTAAGTGATGGTGAGGACTTTACCCGGGTAAGCGTTTACCGGGTAAATTGTTGCATACGATACCGTTTTAATATACTATAACCTTATCTGGTAAAATAGATTACAGTGTTGATTCGTACCAGGTAAGTATTTGGGTAAACGGGCCCTTAGTTGCCTTGTGAAATTTGATGTTTGCTAGAAAGAGTTATTTTATGACTTCCATATTTGTATCTATATATACATGTACAATATTACCCCTCTTGTATGAAGCATAAATAACAACAATAATGAAGTCTCTTGTCAATTACCATTGCCTTCTACTAAAGTTAATGACCAAACTACCCTGTTTACATGTTCATAAGAATTCACTGGCTTAGATCTGAATGATGTCTGATCATGACTTCTGTTTTGCAAGTGAAATATGATCCTGAAATGAGACTACAGATTCTCCTTTGAATTTGAACCAGATTTGTTTGAAAGCTGGCTAAATATATTATATAAGGCTAATCATGAAGCATTATAACCACCTTTTTGTATAGGTTAAACTAGAAAATGAAACATCTTTTATATATATATATATATATATATATATATATACTCTATATATATATATAGAGAGAGAGAGGTGGGTTATTATGCAACATTTTACATTTGTATAACCAATACAATTCAATCTCAACCGTCAATTTGATAAATATATGATTTTATAAAAGTTTTGATTGTTTCTTAATATAAAGTATTGATCATAATTAATGAACTCTAGTTATATTCCATAAATATTTAAATCATAATAAATGAACTCTTATCGTTTTCATAAATATCTCAATTAATTGGGTTGCATTGGTTGTATAAATGTGATGAGTTTCATTTAAAACGTACTCTATATATGTATGTATGTATATATATATATATATATATATATATATATAGACTAGTTGTGTACCCGCGTAATGCGGCGGGAGCCATGAATTTTAACGATTTTGGAGTTCCACTGGTTTTATAAGATAAGATTTAACGATGATATAAGTTACACTGGTCTTTACATATCAATACAATTTGAATAAATAAGAGTTATGGTTCCAATTACAGACTATCAATGAAAAAAATTGTATGATAGTTTAAAATCCAATATATTTAAAATCCAACATATTTAAACGACTCCACAAATGTATTCGATTTACACCAAGAGCAAAAAACCAAGAAACTTGAGTTTTAAGATAAACACTCAAAACCAATAAAGAAAACTACAAATTTGACAGATCATAAGCCATGAAAAGACAAAAAAAGATGGGTTTTAGAATGAAATTGCAACTRCTTACCCTCTTTCTTGTCCAGAAACTCATATTAAGGTTGAATTAATACATGTATATATATTTTTTTAAAAAGCCCAAGAACATATTAATTCAAAACATATTATACAGTGCAATTTGGACAGCCTAACCCCAAAATATATAGTATATATRTAAATAAATAACTATAAAAGTATAAATCGTAAATATTAAAAATATTTTTTTACAGTATATATAATATATAATAATATAATTAAATAAAAAACTATTCAATATTAGACTCATTTCCAAGGTATTAACGAGATGATTATAATGGTGTAACTTGTTAAAATAAAAATGTATTTTTTAAACATGTTTTAATTGATATACGATTATGTATGTTAATTTGATAAATGTTTAAAATGAAATATTTAAAAGTAAAGAACGGAAAGGAAAATTAATTAATTAATTATAAGGGTATAAAGTGTAAATTTAAAATTATAATTTAAAAAAAATCGGTGAGAGGGTGAGTGTATGTGAGGGGGTGAGGAGAGGAGAGGTTGAAAAAGTGAAAAAAAATAAGTATAAAGGGTATTTTGATCATTTAGAATTTTAATACTTTAAGACTTTTGCTAAATTTGCTTAATAAGATAGTATATATATATATACATATACTTGTATGTATGTCCTATCTTATAAAACATATAGACAAAAGTCTTAAATACAATATGTAAGTTTTTTATATGTTCACGACATGTGTCACATAGGAATACTGTTTCAGGAATATATAAACCTGTAGGGTCACACACAAAAAGTACCTGTGCTTATATTTATGAAACCCGAATTAATGAAACCCGAATTAATCATGTTGATTGAGAAATAATTATTCTTAAAGGATTAATTATAAAATGTGTGAAAAAGTCTAATAATGATAATAACATGGTGTTAATTGTAAATATATATAGTTATATTAAAATTTAAGATAATTCATAAATGTTACAGAAAATTTCAAAATTTTATTTTAAATTATAATTTATCTATAATTGAGACCATAAATAATTTGATATGCTAAATCAATTTTAAAAGTGACTTGGATCTTTTAGATTTAGCTATTAGATAAAAAATACATAAATAAACTTTTTCTTTTCTATAAAACATATATTAGATTTAGCGTTTTCGGGCTAGCATCCGACATAGATGCAAAATATATTCGTGTGTGGATCACCAATAGAAAAAATCTAAGTTGATTTCTAACTACCACAACAGATCTCTGTCGGATCTAAATGTAACCCTCTAAAGATCCGGCTATTGGTTTTAAGTTTTAGAAAAGTATTTCTGAATTAATTGTAACCAAAATTAATTTTCAGCTGCTATTTTTTCTGGTCCAAATCGCCACAGGTTTGTGACCGTCTGTAAGGTCGAGTTACCATCATTTGATGGGTTTTTTTTTCTTCAAAAAGGGGAATGGAATTTGGTTAATGGAATTCAACATTCCAATTCTATCAGATTACTTCATAATCTGCGAACCAAACGCCCCTACACCTCCACCGGCCTGTGGCTGAGTTGTCATTGAACCATGACCAGCATCCCGTTGGTTCTGTTAGTCACCATCGGGCCGCCATTTTGTGCGGCTAGTGCCGTTTTGGTCTGGGAATCGCTGGCCCGTGCCATGCATCTGTTGCATGTGCCTATGTGCCGCCTGAAACAAGCCACGCCTTGAAGTCGATCGGCCTCTATTTGCATGTTGTTGCCTTGTACCGTCGGGTGATGCTTTGTGCTGGCCATTGAGCCGATGGCTGTTGGTTAGTGCCCCAATCCCGTGTCGGGGCTATCGTTTTGTATCTCGACTTTGTGCTTTTGATCACCGACAGGTAGCTTTTCTAGCCATGTTTCTCCTTATCGTCCACGACCACCCTAACTCTAGGGTTTACGCCACGTGCTTGGGCAAAACTATCTGGGCTATTGGGCCAAACGTTTCCTGATCGTTGGGCCAAAAGCTTGAGCCGTTGAGCCTAGTGATGGCCAAAAACCGGGCCCGACCAGTCCTTGCCGGTTCCGAGCCTCAACAGATCCGGCCATAACCGGTTCCGGCAAAACGGCTCCCGCTCCCAGTCGAAAAAGGTGAGCCCGGTCAAGCTTTATAGTAACCGGTTATGGACCGCCGGTCCTAGTCATTAAAAAATAATTTTATTTTTATTTTTTAATAATATATATTTTTAATACATTATAAAATTTGTACTTGACTTACTCAAATACACTTTAAAAATGTGTTTTACTATAATTAAAGTTACATTGTCTTACAAAATATAGCGGGAAACCGAGAATTGTAAACGCTTTTTTGCGTTTTTTTTTACAAATCGAGAACTTGGTATGTAAACCCCCAACCAAGACACTTATATATAGTGTTTAGAATGCAAAAAATACAAAAAAAACGGTGATAAACGACTAGTTTTTTGAAAAATAACGGCTACATAAAAAACAGCTACATTTTTTAAAAATTGGGCTGGATCGGGTCCGGTCCTGGTCGGTCTCGGTCCCGCAAATCACTCCAAATTCATAACCGGTCCCAGATTTCGGTCCTATAACCAGTCCTTACGGGTCCTAGACCGGGCCGGTCCCGATCCTTTGGCGGTCTTGGGCCAGGCTGAGCCGGTTTGGTTTGGCTTGGCCATCACTAATTGAGCCAAACGGTTTGGCCCGTTTTTGGTCGGGGAGGTTTTTTTTAATCAAATTCTTTTTCTTCCAGATGTTTCAAAATTCTTGGTTCTGATAAACAATTCCGATTATAATGGGCTTATTTATTTAAGTTTATATAATTTAGCCAATTGTTAATTTATGTTTAAAATATTAATAATACATGTACATGGTATGCCATGAAAGATCTATGGTTGTGATTTGGTTAATATTATTATTGGAAATTAAAACGTATTAATTATAATGGGGCGTAATTTTAATTTTCTAAATATGATCGATTGTAAAATAGAATAGGATATTTTGTATTTTCTTTTTTAAATTGTTAACCAAATTTGAAGACGATATTCTAAGAAATATCCATAGGATCTTGAAGACGTCTTTGACTGACCGTGGATCTTGTGTTTCATAACACCATTAGGGGCAATATCATATATTTGGTGTGATTGTTTATTTTTTGCTTTTATTTATTTATTTGCTTACTGTTATTGTTACAATGTTTGCAAAACGTTTTTTTAAAATAAATTCAAATGCATAATAAATTTTAAATCGGTAGTAAAATATGACAATTTAAATTGATATGATTATCAAAATCAAAACTTTAAAAAGCTAGAATGTTTTCTAAAATTCAAACATTTCACATACGTTAATTATACGTCACCCGTTTAAGGTACTTGTCAAGACTTAAGGATTCCGGTACGGGCAATGCCTAGCCAATCATGTCGGATGATTGTTGTGTGAGACAATGCGTCCAAATAACGAGATTTAAGCGAATAGTTGCATTTGGCTACTCACTTAAATAGTCGTGTTCTATACGACTGATCACAATGAATCCTAAATCAAGTATTTATGTGGGATCACGATACTTTTGTTTGGTTAGTTTACATGGAAATATCATAGACAGCTGTATTGGCTATCTATAAGTATTTTCAAGGCGTTATAGCGGGATTAAACGTGTCAATTCCAATATATGATATATCAGATAGATACCCACGAACATCCAAGAATTACTTTGAACATAATTGGATGATGGCTACCTAAATAACCTATTTTCATAGAGAAATGCATTTGGCAATTTATGAAAATAGGTGAAATGTGGATCTTAGCTCAAATTAAAATAAGTTTTGACAGGCTAGTTCATTTTATTTGAGATTCTAAAGTTACTAAAATTTTGTAGATGTCTACTACCATCTCAAACACAAACACAACCTCATACCAATTACACTGTTGTTAATATTTGATAAGGAAAAATTTGTAAACTAGTACCAAACGAAATCGTTGTAGGCAAGGTTGGTTCATGTCGAGTCATTTTCTGTAAAATTTGTGCTTGTTCAACCTCGACATATACTCATATGTTGGAATTAGGGGTGCTCAAAAACTCAACCAATCAACCCAATTTAGCACAAAATAATCTAACCCGAAACAATCTGATGTCTAATCGAGTTGTAAAATCTTCAAACTGTAGGCATTGAGTAAAGAAAACAACATATTCAAGGTAACAAACATAGAAGCATATTTTGATGTACTAAAGTATTAACCCAAGTACCCGACTAACCCCTGTCGTTTGGTTGGGTTGGGTTGCAATTTGGGTTGAGATCTTCCAAACCGCAAATATTGAATTTGATTGTTTTTTTAAAGGCACTTCTCGTTTAAAGAAAATGCACACAACCTTGAGATGCACTTCTTTTTTGGAAGAAAAAAAAAGACGTGTTACATGACATAATGACTATGTATATTAGTTTTGATAATATGAAAATCCAAAACGAACGTAATTTCGATATACCAATTAAAGTTGCAAGATACGTGCTATCAATAGAAGTTTAAATTGTTGCAAATAATAATAATAATAATAACAATTTTTTTTGTTTGTGATGGTGAAATCAACGAAAAATACACACCATGCACTTCAAAAATGTGTTAATCGATCATTAGCAGGGACGTTCCAATCTTTTTGGAAAACTTTTGATTACATTGCACAAACGAAATAACAAAGAAAATATATGCTAAGAACAAAAATGGGTTAAACAAAAAACGATTAACAATCTGAAACTAAACATAAACCATTAATAATATCGGTTACAGTTTTACACATGTCGATAAAAATACCCTAAACACATGTAAATTTGGGCTCCAAATTTCGAAGTCCCTTTTCAAAATCTCACATTTAACATGCTAAAGGACGAACCTGGTCATTAGTAGAAAATTATGGTAATTCTAACGTTTAAATGCATATATATGAATTGTTTTTACATTTGCTTTGTAATGTAACTTTTATCATATAATAAAATGTTTATTTTATTTAATAATTTTCATAATAAAATTTATTAAGTTGTTGTTAAAAAAGAACATGAGTATAAATTGTGAAAGTAATAAATATAAGAGTAATATTTAAAATTTAATAAATTAAATATAAATCTCATAATTTGGTATGGTATAAAATAGTGTTACCATCAAAAACCATTTACTGTTTGAACCATATAATAAAGGGAAACTTATAAAAATAACTATTTAATACAAGCATTTGCCACAAAATAACCGGGTTTTTAAGGTTTTTGCATTTTGACCACCCAGATCGCCCTGGGGGCTATCGGTACATATGGGGGGCGATCCACATCAAGTCTCTTAAAAAAAATTCAGCCTTAAAAAGACGAGATTACTGTTCACCTCGAAGACCGAAAATTGACCTCGCCCTAGGGGGCGATCCAGACTGTCCCATCGCCCACAAGGGCGATCCAGCCTAAAAACCTTTTTTTGTGGTATATTTAATAAAACTGATACCCCATTTAAATTGTATTTTTTAACTTTTTAGAACCAAATTTCATGGGTAAAGGTTTAAAAATAAACCATAATAATTATGGAGACGCAAAAATTATTTTTATCTGATTTGGGTTTCGTAAATCAGATATAAACCCGTACATCTCTTATTTTTTTTTTCATTTTTTTCTAACTCTAATTTCACTATAAATACCAACCTCCTACTTCATAATTTTTCACACCTTGCTTTTCATTTCTCTTCTCATATATTCTACTCTCACAACTCTTAACCCATTAAACACAATAAATCATCACAACCTTTAACTCACTAAACACAATCAACCATCACAAAACATGAAATCACGTCAAAGTGATGATGTTTGTGTGTATCTTCGAAGTGGTGGTTTATTCCAAAATATAAATGGTGTTTTAGAGTACCTTTCGATAACCTCCCCCACATGTGCAATACGTTTGTCTTCGCCAATAACGTATTCTGGAGTCGTCAAACGTGTGACGAAGAAGTTAAGTTTACGTGGTCCTTTCAATTTATTTTTTAAAACGAATACGTTATATCAGTTTATGGACGACGATGATGTGGTAATCCTCCACAACGCCATTCGTCAAACTTTACCAAAAATGTTGACACTATATGTGATCGACAATGGAGGTTATGGAGGAAATCCATCAAGTGCAAACCCGGGCGGTCCAAAACACTTTTTACCCCGATGCTGTGAGCACACTCTTCCCTGACGTTAGCGGTGCAAACCCATATGGTCCAAGCACACTTTTCCCCACCGCCAATTTATATAAAACGTTAAGTAATAAAACAAAATCCATCGTCAAATCGACGTCATAGAGTGTCATAACATGACAAACCGCAAAATCAGATATAATGTCTGATTTTTTCTCCCAAAATCAGCTAATTTTTTTTTTCGTAACCACAATTACCATTGTCTTATTTTATACCGAAAAACCATGAAATTTAAAATTAAATACGTAAAAAGACACAATTTATGTATTTTTCCATTTTTATTAAAAACACCCCTTAATTGTTAAATAAAAAACACAAAATGACGAAATAGAGGTCAAATTTCGTAAATCAGATATAATATCTGATTTACGAAACCCAAAACAGATAAAAATAATTTTTGCGTCTCCATAATTATAATGGTTTATTTTTAAACCTTTACCCATGAATTTTGGTTCTAAAAAAGTTAGAAAACACAACTTAAATGGCGTATCAGTTTTATTAAAAATACCAAAAAAAAAAAGATTAAAAGGCTGGATTGCCCCTGGGGGCGATGGGACAGTCTGGATCGCCCCCTAGGGCGAGGTCAAACCCGGTCTTCGAGGGTGAACAGTAATCTCGTCTTTTAAGGCTGAATTTTTTTTAAGAGTTCTAATGTGGATCGCCCCCCACATGTACGGATCGCCCCCGGGGGCGATCTGGGTGGTCAAAACGCAAAAACCTTAAAAACCCGATTATTTTGTGGCAAATGGTTGTATTAAATGGTTATTTTTATAAATTTCCCTATAATAAATCTAATCCATTGAAGACTTTTTATCTAAATGGTGTTTTATAGTACAAGTATAACCAAATTTTTGTAAACTGGTTCAGAACCTGGTAAATTAGTGATTACAAAATAGGTCAAGAAAGTAAGCAAATGATTTGAATTCTTAGTAATTAACCCTTTCTACTTGTACAAAAACATAGAAAACCAACCCAGTTTTAGGTCAAAATATGATCATATTTACAGTTGACACAAATTCAAGAAAGGGAGGCCAACAACCAAAGTACCGTGTGAGAAGAGATGGCGAGCCAAAACCATGCCCCGAAAGCCAAACCTATGGATATCTGATACATACTACACGAAAGAATGGGTTCCAACTTGCACAGCTCCGAGTCTCTTACAAACAGAACCATCACTCCAGCCGACGATGATGACGCTGCAAGCGCTAGGATTGCCGTTACCTGAGTTGGTCAGTCAAAGAACTTGTCAAATTTATTACAAATCTTGGAAAGTAAAACTACATGCATACGTAACGTACCCAATCGCCAACAACGACAAGACTTAGTAAGATTTGACTCTGCAGATCTTTCTTTACCCATAGAGCATGAATATCAAGACAGGCAAGTCCCAAACTCCACAAAACTTCTAGTCCCATTGCCGCAATTAGATAGCTAATATCAATCAAACACACCACCACAAATTAGAATAACAAATATAACACAAAAGAGTGTCCCTAGGAATGTTGTTTGCAAATATAACAATTATAGTGTCCTATCTTAAGGATAAAATGCATTAAATAATTCGGTATCATGCGAAAGACACATGCAGAGAGCCAAAATATGTTGTTAGAAAAGGGAAAAGGCATGAAAGGGTATAAAAAATGAACCAGCAATGCCTAACATTTCCAGTTTGTGGGTCTTATTTATGTGGTGTGAATGGGAAATGAATATGATGCAAATAAATGCATTCAAGTTTCTAAATTGATTCTGGCCACTAACATTTTAATACCCAAAATCTGGACCATACTCTTATGAGATCACAAAACACTTCCTTGCTACTGTAATCATGCTTTCAAGCAATAGTGAACAATTAAAAAGAGGTCAATATGCCTTCAGAAACTGCTTCCAGCCCACTTTAACCCTAGTTCATGTATCTCTCCTTGATCAATTTGCAGAACTTTATAGGACTACTTATGTGCCCTAACACACTTGATATCAAGGTTATCCACCTATTTAAATGACGTACAATGTGAGATGACTACAAAGGTCTTTTTTCCTCTTGTTAGCACAAAAATGCTTCTAATACAACAGTTAAAATCAACGTAGATACACCAAACTGTTTTACAAGATAACCATAGCTTTAGAGATAGTATCTCAGTGCACCACCTCCACTACCAACTCAATAAAAACATTGTCAGCACCCACAGGGCACTGCAGCCTGCTCATTATGTGGGATTATCGATGGTTTGGATTACCAACTGTAGTTAGAAACTTGTAACCATGTTTCTGGTTAAGGAATAAATGTCACCTCACCGATGACAAAAGAGAGGTCCACCAGCAACCTATTGTATGGCTCCAGCCTCTATTTACAATAGTTAGGCCAACCATACAGTAGCACGTCAACTACGACACACACACAAAATTGACATCATTCTCCGTATGTTATACTCGCTAGACTTTTCAGTTGTTTTCAAGATTCAAGAATTTTTTTTTGCAGAAACAAAAAAAAAACCTCTAGAATTTCTCAAGGATTCAAGTCATTTTTCACCTCCATCTTTCTTGGTTGACATATTCTTAACTAATGTGCTAATCATGCATCTTGTCTGTCCTAACCCGTCTTTAGAACTTAGAACTCTTACTGTGCTAGCAATTCCCCAAGAAACTCTGCACATCGTCAACATTAAGTAATGGTGTCATCATTATCGCAAAGAAATTCATCGTTTTTTGGTAGTAACGAGGAGTGTGCTACTAGGATTGCTTATTGCATGCTTCACTAGCCTAGAGATGCAAGCAAACAGATTTCTGCAAATATCAAATCTAGAGAACATGTTTCCAACTATAAAATTCTTTTCAACCTAATGCATACTTGTTTTCATATGAATACGGTTAATCAAGAACATCCCAGCTCGAGTCTACTCACATTAAACTTCAAGGACACAAAATAGCAACAAAAGTGTTTTGATTGGAAAAAACCACATCTAAAATCTGTAAGGATGACTGCATCTCTTTTAAAATGAACGTGAAACATAATCAAATATAGAAACTTACACCTTATCCAAAAATTGGTATTTTCCATTTCCAGTAACCAATCAATGGAATACGTAAGGATTTCCATGCAATTCATGATCCTATTATTACCTAAATTGTTACAAGGTGGTCAGCACATAGATAATTTGATCAAACTTGAACAAGTAAGTACTTGAGATAACGCACTTCTAATAATATAATTCCCCTCTTTTAGAAAGAGAAAAACCCTTAAATAGCAAAAGGAAATTACAATTCGAAGCAATAACATGAATTAAGGAAATACAGATATCAAGAACAGTAATTGTGTGTTTGACTGAGAGATACCAAAAGGAAGTGGCGCTAGAGAAACCAGAAGAAGCAGCCATGACTGCGATAGAAGCAGCAGCACATAAAAACTGAAAAATCCTCAAGACAAGGCCACTGGTGATCCCTGGAGTCCCAAAACATGGCTTCATCATATGTATGTATATGTGTTATTTAGCTACATAACACGGATGAAGAAGATTGAAATTAGGTTTTGTAGATGAAATTGAATGGGAGATAGATCCCTTCTAATCTGACGCTGATTCCGCAAAGAGTACGCACAGGACTTGTTGCCCCTTTTCCGGCGATTGAAGTCAGAAACGGGAAGCAATGGCACACCAACTCATCTCATCACCAAATCTTTGGATTTTTAGGCGCAACTTCAACCCACTTCCGTACGGATACTTCCACTTCAATCAAAGTAAAGTACCAACAATTTTGCTTTTCATTCTTTGTCCCAAATTGATCCATTTTCTCGATCGAATTCAATTTTTATTAGTTTTTGACGGCAATGTCCGTAAAGCTTATTTTCTTAATCTAAAAATAGGTGTCTTAATTCGTTAAGACATTTGTCTTAACTCGGGCTAAAACGAGAATTTTATTAAATAATCATTAAAAAGTGAATTTGGTTGCATAAATTGGTTATTTTGATCAATTTCTCTTGGACTTGGTTATTACTCATACTTTAGGTTTTCTTGATTCTACGTCAAACCATGGTTGTATTGCTCTACTATAACAACTCAAACAACTACAAGTGGTCCTAAGATGACGAGATGCATGTGACACAAAAATGTATGATCGTGCTCGGGTACTATTACCCAACTATTGGAGAAAGATCCCGAAACAAGCAAAGCTTTGTCGACTACACGACAATTTCATATAAGGTAGGTTCTAACAACATATATGGTATCTGAATCGGTTAAGGATTGCAAACGACATGTTGAAGGCCTTGTCTACTTTTCTTTGGAAGTTGTTTATGGAAGTGTGCTTAACGTGCATCAATCAAACCAATACGTCATCCTACACTAACATATTTTAAAATTAATATTGCTTAAATTAATCTCTTCAAGAAAATATCTTTTGTTTTCGTTCGGTACTGACTTGGGTTAGTTACAAAATCACTAACGTCAATAAGATAGTATATTTTAGAAAAACCTTTTTAAAATATATGGTCGTTTAATATTGTAAATTAAAGATTATGGTATAATGAAAAAGAAGAACCCACATCTATAAATTACGAACACTCTTTAAATTAACAATATATTAATTTATCGTTTAATTGATCTCTTTCAAATAAAAATAATCCAACCATTACCATATGTAAATAGACTATCTTGCAATAACCATCAACTTTTATCGCCAAAACTCTTCCTATTAGTGTCGTTATAAGTTTATAGCATACTTAATTACAATATAAAGATAGTGCGACCATATTTTACGAACAATGTAGATATAGGTGTGCAGGAAATGTCTACTGCAGAAGTATACAATGATCCCGAAAGGTCTCAAATAAACAAATTGGGATCCTTGTGAACAATCCAATACAACAATGCAGAAACAAGGGTCCAACCATATGAAACAGTAGTCCGCCAACGTTGGTCGACCCACAAGCACCAGATAGGTAAGAACTAACTCAAAACACGCAAATATAGCATTAGCATGCAAATCAAGATGCTGAGATTTAACGTGATTCCATTATCGGTGTAATAGTATACGTCCATAGTGTGAAAGAGATTGGTATTATCAATCAAACGAGAGTTACAACGATACTTACAAGCTCAAATGGATCTAAAATCAGCAATACGATGCTCCTTGTACATTAGTTGGTAAAAAGAGGAAAGAAAACAAAAGATATATCTTGGGCCAATGAATGAACTCTAGAATATGGCCTCTTCTCTGCCATTTCACGTATGTGACCTAAGGCAGCGACCTGAGGTTGCACACTTCCCAAATAGAGTATACATGAACATGGTCAGGTCGCATACCCCCAAATCACCTGGTCGCAAATCTTAAGCCTTTCCACTGGACTTAGCCTAGCAAGGCTAGGTCATGCAACTTGGTGTCGCAGATGTTCTTGGGACAAAGTCTCACGAGCTACAGCTCGCACGTCTGGCACACGAGCCACGTGAGTTTCAGGTCACGTGCCAGGTCCCAGGTGCATGGGAATGGTGCAGCATCTCATGTTACAACAAACAGGAAGTTATAAAAGGAACCCAATAACAAATAGAACCTTGTAGTGCCAAAAGCTGGTCTTATATAGGACTAGGTTTCCTCTAAACTTCAAACTGAAACTACAATAATGCAATGTAGGATTATTTGATTACATGAATTGCTTCCCCCTCTCCTCTAGCCCCTGGATCCCCAAAACAAATTGGATTATTTTATTAAATAAAGACAGCCTGGTTCGCTTATGTCACGAACACATATGAAGCTGTTAAATGTAATTGTACAACATTTTGTAATTTTGTTCATGAGGAAAAGATATCACTAATGTTGCTACCTTGATTTCTTTCACTTCATAAGGCAAGCATATGTCCATCCATAGTCTCAAGTGGGCTCACCATCCAGGGGCTGCCTGCTTCAACTCAATGCTCCAAACACCACAGTTTAAGCTTGCTGAGTGAGGTCTTTGTGTGTATACACAACCCCTTTATCATCATCCACAACTTGTCCATTTCCTCTTGCAATCCTGAAAATTTAAACAAACAGAATCAAATCATAATGTGTTTAAAGGGTTCCATCTGGAAATTGTAATTGTATAGTTTCCCTCTCTCTTTTTTTTTTTTTTTTTTGCATTTTGAATGATATAATCTGGGGGCAGTTGTGGCTAGAGTGATATATCTTCTAGAAATACCAAAATTGCAGAATGCCTTATTTTGGAGATCACAGCAAATCAGTTGAAGATTACTTGCAAGAGTCCTGCACTTGAGTGTTTTCAACAACCATGGCGTTTGAAGCTCGTTTTATTGGCTGTTTTGCATGCTTATTGGCTAAAAGAACCATAATTGTACCAACTAAATTCGATTCTAACCCCGCCACTTCTCTAGGAATCCAGTTTAGACCCCTATCCAACATAAACTACTATGAAGAGAACAGATGCCAAGTATATGCAACATCCTAGGCATTCTTAAAGGATAAACTTCCTTCATTTGTTACATTAAATCAAGCTGCACAAGCACATTTGCAGTCTTTCTAATGCAATAAACTGCAAGAGGTATAAATCAGAGAAGAAAAGGCGGTAAGTTGGGGTCTACACGGAAACAGCCACTCTAGGGTAGAGGGCATGTATGCATACATCTCACCCCTTCCCCCCTGCGGGTCCCTGCTTTCAAGCACAAACAACCAATTGTTCTATTTCTGTGTTTACAGAACTACAATCTAATTCATATCCATTGTGAAATGAGAATAATATTTACGGGAAAAATCTCTGGATTGGCATATTTTAATTTTAGTTTCTTAAGAATTTGTAAACTACTTCCAACAATTACTTGAACAAAAGAAATTACAGTTATACTTGGCAATTGTTCATCACATAATTGGTAAATGAGATCATGCAAAACAAATATGATAGTGATGAAGGTATGAGGTGTGTATCTAACTTCTAACTTCCCCATGCAAATAATGATGACAACACCACGCCAAAGAGCTGAAGGTAGGGATGAATTTATAAGTCGACGAGACACAATCATATCCGTCTGGCAGGATTATATAGACTTACAAGAATTCTTTATCAACGGAGACTATCTAGTTAGTGATATCCATATATTTTCATGTATCATTGGAGGAAAACCCAAAAAGTGTCAGTTGGGCATTTTAAATTAATTTTCTTCACAAATTCTATCCATCATAAGTGCAGATGTCCCTGGGCATTGATTAAGGATCACTTTCGCAGATATGAAGTCATTACCCATTTACTATAGGTATCCCCATCTAGGCTCTAAGCAAGTAACTTTAGAAAAGGCTGTTCCCATCTATGGAAGCTACTGAAGCATGATGAAAACCTTTGTTAGTTTAGGAAAGATACCAGCTACTGTATCATGTGAGACTTCACTTCTAACATGATTTACCAACCCTCATAGTAACTAAGGAAAGTGTTTTGGCATCAAATCATGAAGATTACAAGTGGAACAGCAAAACAAGTCCCAAATCTAAATAAAACTGTTTATCTGCCCAATATTGATATAAACAATGATGTATTTGAAGCATGATAATTATGATGTATGGAAATTGTATTGTGCTATTTGGTCCAACAAAAATCTGCATCCCACTTGTTTCATCTTTTTGGGTAACTGTCCTTACTAAATGTTTGTCCTGGAAACAGAAGTCGAATTTAGATATTTGGACTTTTGTGTTTATCTCACATAAGGGAAGTTTTGGTCTATACTTTATATAAATTGAACTTAAAGTTATTCAGGTAAAAAGGCTATCAGATCAGAAGGATACCGAGTGATGCCAATAGAACACCACCTGCTATAAATGCAAGGTACAAACAAAGACTTCCCTCCCCAACCATCGCAAACCTGAGAAGATTTGCACCAGGGACACACTTTTTCTTTAAACGGTTCTGAGCAATATGGATTAAAGAACATTGCCCTTAAAACCATGCTAAGTATAACTTACTAGAAACAGCACATGGTGCATTTAGATTTATCAATTATATGAACAATGGGAAACAGAAGTGAGAAGTGAAAAAGAAAAATCTATCAGTTGTTCAAGTAGTCATGAAAACCCTGTGAAAAGAGAACTGTTTTCGTACAAAATGGGAATTCTGAAAAGTAAACAAAGAGAAAAGCATGAACATACCATCGCGTTGTTAGCAATCCTTCAACTCCTACGGGGCCACGAGCATGGATCCTACTCGTACTTATCCCAACCTATCGTGCAATTGGACAACCAACGGGACTATGACTTACAAGAGAGAAAACATTGATTAAAGTATGCTATTCTAAAAATGATACCATACCTCTGCCCCGAGACCAAAACGAAATCCGTCACTAAATCTTGTGCTTGCATTATGAAAAACAGCAGCACTGCAAAAGTGATCAGCCAGAGGATATTCCATTGTGATGCATTAGTAAAAGTAACAAAATGTGAACATTAAATCTCCAATATTAAACATCCGGTTAATAACAATTCAAAAAATGGTCCACAGGCATTTATAGCTTCGAGCAGATAATAGAAATGCAAGAAGATGCAAGCACCTGTCCACTTGACGTAAAAAAATGTCTGCAGCTTCTGGGTCTTCTGTTACAATGCAATCAGTATGAGCACTGCAAAAAGAAGTATCCAGGATAGAGCTATGAGCGCCTTGTAAAATAATGATGTACAAGGCATGCACATAAAGATTCATGACTACATAGAAAGAGAGTTTGACTATATAAGTTAACATGCCTTCCATGCTTGTGTATATGATCAATGGCAGCATGCACATCATCGACAATTTCGATAGTGCAAGACAGTGAACTGTACT